GTCATCACGGGCTGTCGTAAGGAACTCGGCAGTCAGGGGTGGCTTCTCGAAGTACCAAGAGGGCATCGGATAGAGGGTATTAGCTAGTATATCAGTTAACTAGAATGTATGTATACGTATCATGGTTCAAGAAGGCGCTAGGCGCTAGTTGGGCGGATAGGGGGCGCCTAGCGCCTAATTGGCGCCTAGGCCCCGCCTAGGCGGCGCCTAGCGGGCGCCTAGGTCGGGTCAAATAGTTAAATTCAAGAAATTAGTAGGCATATTGCATAGAAATTAGACTATATAACACTAAAATAGCAATAAAACACAACCTAAGTAATTTAACCGCCTAATGCACCATTGAATGCCTAATCGCGGCGGCTACCCGGCGCCTAGCGCCTAATGGGCGCCTAGGCGGCGCCTAGGGCCGATTTTTAGAACACTGATACGTATATTAAAAGTATAGGAATATATTATCTTTCTCTTTTCTTTCTACTTAGCTCACATAATATATTACGAGAATGAGTAGTAATGCTTGTGTCACTCTACCCTTGGATTATCTTAACCTTTGCTTAGAATATGATTATCACAAGTAATATATAAATTATTAGTTGAGTTCTCTCTACATGATCTTTCCACGGGATAAAATAAATACGATACCCTTGGAATATTCTCAGGTAAAATGCTACAATGGTATATCCGTGTGCTTGCGGATGAACTCTGTAACCATAATATACCAGGAGTATTTCTGCGCCATTGCTGGGAATTATATTTCTAGTAATATCGTTAAGAAATACCAACAACCATCATCTTGAGGGCAGCCTCCTCGCAAGCATGATCAACTATGCCTGCACAAGCTGTCACCACCATGTTGGGTAGGTAGGAGGGAATACCATGGACCTCACAACGGACCTGGTGTGGGAACTTGCTACTGAGAGGACAAATCCTGGTGCACTCCAGCTCTGCTGGGAAACCAACCACAAATGCCATGCAGACGAGCTCAGCAACGAAACCTTCCATGTCCTGACCATGGTGCGTGTTGGGGCGGCTGGCCATCTATAGAAGACAAAGGAGAGAGAATCAATGCATGCTCAAATCCAAATATAAGCGAAACGATAAAGGACTCAAGTAAAACAAACAAATAAGAGCAAAATTTTGTACATATATTATTTTGCATGAACGAATAAATATAACTGACATAACTGAGCAATAAAGTAATGCGGAAATTAGATACATAATAATAATCACAACATAAATAAACTTTGCAACCAATACACCTCAGCTAGGACCTAATGCATTCCTCCCATTAAATCTCGACTGACTGTCAAATAAGTCCCAAATAATTTTACTAAAACCCTTGACTGACCTCTTTAATAAATTTCAATTGAACGAGCGATCAAGATTTTTCCCATAAACCGAAGGAACGAATCCCAATTTTCCTGAAACAAATCCAATTGCACAGAACAAATGCAATAAAAAGGATTCGGAGGGCTCTTAGGTTTCCATTTGGCTTGTCCTACGATCAAGGTCGGCTCTAAGACCAGCTTGTCATGCCCAGAAATTCCCGAATAGAACTCCAAGCAGAATGTGCATTAAAACCCATTCCCAGGACCGGCCAGGGTACACAAACGACAATATTGACATACAGATCCACGTCTTACAAACATTATAAAAGTCTTACATAAATGCAGTGGAAAAGAAAAGGTAAAATAAAACTAATTCTTGTCTTGGATAGTGAGCGGCGCTATTCCACAAGCATCCTCGACGGCACGGACCAAGCCTACTCCTCTGAGTAGCCACCATCAAAAGCGTACTCGAACTCTAGGGTTGGGAGATAGAGCAAGACTGAGTACTACCCACTGTACTCAGCAAGTCATACCGGAATAGAGGGTATGATACAGGATATAACCAAGGATAGCTAAAGGGGTTCATTTGCATAAAGCTAGCATTTAAGAATAATAGTTGAAAGCAGTAAAACAGTTGTAGTTAATTAATCAATATTAAATCATCACTGCTCAACGCTACACCACGTTGAGACAAACCCAAACCACCACCTGAACTAACCAGTTCATTAAGCCAATTTATTAAGTGGGATTAATCACAGTGAATCTGGTCAACCGCCCATAACCGTGGGCACGGCTATTCGAATAGTTCTACTCTGATCAGAGGTGTACAATGGTACACACAAGATAGCCCCACGACACGTTTTCGTGCGCCGACATGCCACCACGGCATATCGGAAAGAGGCCGTGACAGGACCATTCGCATAATCCCCTCTAACCAATCGCACCGCACCCTAGCAGGCAACGGGCAGCTTCTTCTTGTGCCACGGTGAATCCGGAAGCTGCATAGACGTCGCATGGCCCATCCAAACTCCATCACGCTCACCCTAGCCTGGGTACGTCAGCTAGAGGAAAGCTACACTACAATCTCAGCCGTTGCCAACGCTGGCTTGTGGTAAGTACACTAAATTCTTCCAGGGTTTCCCGCGAAACGGTCCTTAACCTCCATGGGTGCGACTAGCAAAACCATGCACCCACAGCCCACCATTTAGTGTATTTTAGTTGATTAACACCATCATGGTGGTACATGTCCAAAGTTATGCTAAACCAATGTCTAAGCATTTAGCGAGAATCCCCCATTGTGTGCTAGTTCGACTAAGCAAGGCTAAGCAAGTCCTAATCCAACATCTAATCATATTACAACCCAAGATAGCAAAGGAATAATAGTATACAAGTAGTAAAGTTGAGTACAATAGGTAAATAAAAGAATGATTTAAAGGAAATAAAAGAGCATTTGCAAATTTAGGAGCAACATGATTGATGAACCAGCTGGAGGGACCTCGGCTACTATCTTGAAGTAAATCGGAGCGTCGGACGAGCTCGATTCTATACGACGTACGAGCACGGTGAGGCGACGGCGAGCGATCGGGGACGGCGACGACCGGCGGACAAGCTCCGGAACCTCCTGGCGAAACAAATGAGATGGATTAGAGAGAGAGGGAGAGTTCAAGAAGGGCATGGACGTGGGCCGAAGGCGTCGGCCATGGCATTGCTCATCGGCGCATGGTGAAAAGGGGCTTACGGAGGCGGATTCGGCCGAACGGACGGCGGACACGGCGGCTCGCGGCACGGCGAACGCGGCGGCGTCGACAGCGAGGCCCAGCGCGGCTGCTAGCAGCCGCCAGAGGCGGTTAAAAGGCGACGGTGGGAGGTATGACGGTGCGGGAGCGATAGGATGCACGGGAGTGAGCGGCGAAAGGAGGAAAAATGAGGAGAGGGAGGTGGGGAGTGTTTATATAGGGGCGGGGAGCTCGGACGTGGCCGGGAGGAGCACGAAATGGCCGGCGAAGTGGGGGAGGTGTGAGAGGAGAGAGAGGCGGGATTCAGATTTCGAATCCCGGGCATCTCGTGGGCGCGGGCGAGTGGGGAAGGGGGTAGTGGGGCGCGGGGGAAGGCGGGGCATGCTCGTTCGTTGGCGACGTGGCTCGGGAGGGGCGAAGAAGGTGGGAGAGGCGGTTGCAGCATGGGCGTCGACGGCGTCCGGAGGTTGTGGGAGGACCTGACAAGTGGGCCCTACCTGTTGGTGACCCCGGGAGAGAAAGGAGGGGGCACGTGGGCTGCGGGCTTGGCCTCGGGCCAGCCCAGCAAGGCGCGCGGGCGGAGGGGAAATGGGCTGACGGCCCAACAAGGGGAAAAAAGAGAGAAAAAGGGGAAAAAGAGAGAAAGGATTTCCAGGGGATTATTTAATGCTTGTGCTTAATTTTAATTGATTAAAATTATCTCCAAGGCTCTGAAAATTCCACTAAAATTTTTGTTAGTATATTTTGACATGTAGAACTCAAGAAAAATTTCACATGCCATTTTACGGTTTCTCTCTTGACTTAAAAATTTTCTTGAGATGATTTATTAATTTTAATTTCTGCTTAGGAAGAACTTCAGGTTGTGGCATGCTGTAACTCCCGTAATCTGAAACTCCCTCCTCTAACTCCTCCTTTCGTGATCGTGATCGCTGTAACTCCTCTAACTCCTCCTTTATGTCCCGTACTCTGTAACGTAATTGCTGTAACTCTGACTCCCCCTCTTGGCTACTCCCACGTAAGCGCTGTAACTCCTCTAACTCCTCCTCTCGGTGTCGCGCCTGCTTTAACTCCTCCTCTAGCTTACTCGCTAACACTGGTGGAGAAACCATCTTTTATCGGTCAGCCAAATTCCACAATAATCCTGGTTCTAATAAAAACTGGGACTAAAAAGCATCTTTAGTCCCGGTTTAAAAGTTGAGGGGTACTTATTACCAACCGGGACTAAAGATCATTTTTAGTCCCGGTTCAAGAAGTTGAGGGGTTCAAGACAGACCCCGATTATTTTTACTACCGGTTGGTATAAACAACCGGGACTAAAAACAGATCTTTAGTCCCGGTTGTTTATATCAACCGGGAGTAAAGAGTACCCCGAACCGCGCGCCAGATATTATCCGTGCGCCACAAAAATAATTGTTTATACCAATTGTTTTTACTTCCGGTTGGTATAAACAACCGGGACTAAAGATATCTCCCCCTTCATCCCCTTCCTCTCCCCTTTCCCCTCCCGTTCCTCCCCTTCCTCTCCCCTTCCCCCTTCATCCCGGGCGGGCTGGCGCGGCGGCCAGCTGGCCGGGCGGGCGCGGCGGGCGCGGCGCTCGGGCAGGCTGGCGTGGCGGCCGGCCGGCCGAGCTCGCGCGGAGGCCGCAAGGACGGTGGCCGGGAGGCCGGCGGCGCCCTCCTCTCTGCTGCTGATTTTTTTTGAATTTTTGATTCATTGGATTTGATCTGTGATTTATGTGATATTAGATCTGATGTGGGAGTTGTGATGTATTTCTTTTAGGATTTGTGATGTATTTTTTGTTTGAGATTTTGTGATGTGATGTATTGTGATCTGTGATGCATTTCTTTCCAATATGTGATGTATTTCTTTCCAGATCTGTGATGCTACTTTGATTTGGGGATGATTTGGGAATATGATCGGGGATATTTAGGGAGCAGATCGATTTGAGAAAAAAAAATAACCGGAACTGCTCCTGATGGATTTTTAGTCCCGGTTATTTTACCCGGGAGCGTAACTCCTCTGACTCTTTCAATAGGTGTGTCTGCGCAATTCCCGTTCCAGTTGCTCATCCACTTGCTGCAGTAGAAGCAAGCGCCCTCGTTCCCGTTCCAGTTGCTCATGCTCCACTTGCAGCTCCTCTATTGTCTGGCGTTTTCCCTGACGCCCGCGTTCCAGTTGCTGCACGATTTCCTGATCCTGCTGCGGCACATCCACTCCAAGCTTCAATCGTAACTTCCGAAGACTTTCTCGCCCCTCCTTGATCTCCTTCTGTAGGCGCCCACGTTCCACTTCTTCCTTCTTTTTCTCTTCTTCTATTTGACGCAGGTCCATGCGCAGAGGCGACGCCCGGTAAACGCGGACGCCCTGCCTGCGCATGCTATCATAGAACCTCTCGGGATTCCAGACGGCGACGTAAACGCCGATGGCGTCCGTGAAGTTGCCACTCCGGCCGCAGAAGCCGACGATGGACCCCGAGTGCTCCATGGAGACCTCGAACCGCGTCCATCCAGCTCTGTCTTCTCCAAGATTGCCGTATGGTCCGAACGTCCTGTTCCGGTTGCTCCTGAACTGCAACCACCGGATGAGGTGGTTGTCATGGTAGCCGCACATGTGCGTCAACACCTCCCCATGGAAGTCGAGCTCCTCCTGTGTGCGTCCATGCATCAGGTTATTTGTCAGTCAGTGATTAATTAGTACAAAGCATCTCTCTGCAAGCTGTTTGTTTTAACGGAAAGGCTATATGGCTGTTGACAGAAAAAGGATGGATGGATCATTCGTTTTTTGGGCCATCCATTCATCTTTGAGATTAGTGCTGATTATGTTCGGGCTTTGATAGACATGCAGTTTTTAGTCCTTTGACTGACCTTCGTGGGACCCACATTAACTATTGAATTTTGAAATTCGCGCCTGCATTATCTCTGTTTGAGAGAGAGAAACGTAGAGATTTTTCTATCCCTGAGACAGAAATCGAGAGGGGAGGACACAAGAGAACAGATTTTTGATATTTGACTTGTTCTTTCGGATATTGCACTACGATTCGTCCTAGAACAGTGCGAGATGAGGATGAGGGCCCGTGTTTCGACATGCCTCGTGGTATCGTGGTAGTCAACGTGACTCGATCTCCGTGCGAAATTTCTGATTTTGCGCGACGTGACTCGATCTCTGTTCAAAATTTTCGATTTTTCACGCTGTGTCTATAGAGTGGTTTTTTTTTCTATTGTATTTAACGTTTTCTTAGCCGTAGGATTATGCGCTAAGATTAGTGCAGAAAATTACAGTGCTATATAACTAAAATTACATTCGTAAATTCAGTTGATACGATATGTAAGTGCACTGTAATTTTGATAAAAATACTGTGTAAATAAATATGTATTTATTATTTCCTTTAAAATATAAAATTACAATTCTATAGACCTAATATTACATTTGTAAGTTAAGTTGATATGACATGTAAGTGTATTGTAATTTCACTATAGTTATACTGTAATTACAATGTAACTATAATAGAATTACACTGTAACTTTTAGTGTAATTGCAGTGTAACTATAGTGAAATTTATCTTCTATGCATTAGCATATACCTAATTGAGTATATGTCTATGGGTAATTCAATATGGAAGTTTGCTAGTTTTATGGATATGGGCATTTTAGTAGATCTGAAAGTTTGTTCTTGGATATTTGACATGTTTTTGTTTAGCTTATTTGAGCTTTAAATTGTGCTTCCTGTTTTTTTTCTCGCTATATTTTTGGGCCAGTGATTGCTCCTCTAGGTTTATTTGGGCATGTGATTTATTAGATATTGAATTTGGGCTTTAGAATCAGTTTGTTGTACTTTCTGGTTTGGGCTCAAGAAATTTGGGCCTTCGTATGGGCATGTGTTTGGGCTCAGGAAAAAAAATTGGGCCTCCAATAAAATCATATATGAAATTTGCTCTTTTATTTTTTCAGTTTGTTTTTTATGTCAAATATTTCCAGCGGTTAGATCTTTATCCTAAGGCTATAAAATCTGCATGATTTGAGCATAAAAATTCTGTCAAATAATTTTCTCCCAAATTAAACCGTTCAATCGACGACTGAGTATTTGTCTGTGTTTTTACATAATTAAAACAGTGGAAAAATTAATACAACTCCACGATTAAAGAAGAGTCCCTACTGATTCTATAATACAACTAGTTGATAAGTTCTATTAGATCATGATTAAATGAACTAGTCACCGGCTCACCGCTCATGAAAACCTTTATGAGATTGTCAGAAGCAAGAAGCAGAGGCCTTGGGCTTTAATAAATTGGTCATGATCTGTGCCCATCGTCGTTACCAGGAGTTGTTTTACGATACACGGTACAAGTGACAAGGGGCACTGGTGTGAGTAAATTCTAACCATTCATTTGCGTGGGCATTTCTTTAAATGGTATATTAATTGTAAAATTTACCCACCTTTCCACCGAAGGTAATTAAGTCAATAGTTTCTTTCTCTACAGCTACAGTACTGAACCCTTAGCGCATCATTACTGCAAAAGCCTCATAGGTGTGAGTTCATTTAAAACCGGCACATATAAACCTTTCCCTAAATCCACAGGATGAAAAAGGATACAAAAACGTCACCTTTGGGTAACTATATATGCTGGTTGTAGAGGAAAATCAACACAAATACTATAGGTGTCGGTTTTTTTTAGAAAAACTTGTACCTATAATTTATAGGTACTGGTTAAGTAAAAGCCACCCGGAGCGGGCGACGAATAGGACGATGTCGGATGTTGGTGGCGACGGTGGCTAGGTTTGCGGTTCGATGACGGCAGCGACGACAACAACCTCCAGCATGCTCGATGTTGACACGAGGGTGGCACTGGCAGCGGAGGGGTGAAGGCGGATCAGGTGGGAGTGGAGGATGCGCAGCGATGGGCATCTAATCTGGTGGAGGCTGGCCTTTAGTGAGCCCGTTCCGGTTTTGGCCAGCCTTGAGCTTCTTGGATCCGGTGGCTGTGGGTTGCGGCTCAGAAAGGCAGGACCACGATGTAGTCAGATGGATCTAGCCCGCCGTACTCTTCATCTTCTGCGGGAGACCTTGATCGTCTGGGAGACCACCGAGCGGTGTCGAGCCTTGGGGCATGCCGGATCTGGCGGTTGTGGGTTGGGTGGATGTAGAAGGTAGAGGGAGAGGAAAAAGAGATAAGACGAGAAACAAAAGAGCAAAAGATTATTATTTTAAGGGTTTGAGAGAAACGAGGTTACGAGAGCTGGGGTGTTTTTTAATCTCATTGGAGCATGATTTGATCACTAACGCTAAACAAATTTAGCCATATTCCATTTTAGCAATGTGATTTTGGAATTTATTTTAGTCATCTTATACTGCTTCTAGATTTTGATATAATCATTAGATTTGAGCTTAGTTTTTTTTTTAGATTACGTAGTGAACTCTAGTTTATACCTATGATGCAGTTCTATGGTTAGTTTTTAATCTATCTAGATTTTACTGAACTCCTGGTTCAGACTAAAATTTTTTTAGATCCCATTCATCTGTTGTTTTTCGTATTTATTGATTAAAATTAAATATGTATATAACTTATGTTGAAAGTTATACATCAAGCGGATTTGAATAGGTGATGTTCTAATGATTTTCAGTTGTAGTGGTTTGCTGATTTCACTGTTCACGCATTGTAGCATCGCGTGATTGTCGACGGTGTTGTGAATTTAAGTATTGTGTTTGGTCTTCTTTTTTTTATTAGGGTGGTTAATTTAGGGCTGTCATAGCATTATAACAGATTAACAGTACTAGAATGATTATTTGTTTTATTTCTGCCGCTTGTTTGTTTTTGTTGTATACATTGAAATTAAAATTAAGCGATAACCATTCACCCCCTTCTGATCAAGGCAACCTCGCTACAAGTGCCATGCGTACATCAAGCCGCTCCTCCAAAGAGTAGTCCAAAGAGTAGAGTATATATAGAATTTTGAATCCAGGATGCTATAATCGATTTTTAATTGTCAACAAAAAGTATTTAGATTTTGGGTAGACATGGCAGTAATAAATATAAGTTTCTAATAAGATAGAGTAGATCCTATAAGGAGTGGAGAAATTGTTTTCACTTGGAAAATCACTTCCTAAGAACAAATCTATCAAGTATTGCTTGCTACATACCTCGGGTATTCCATTGCCTCCCTCTCCTTGCAGGGTACCTTTCACACGTTTGCCATTGTCGTCGTATTCAAACAACATTGAGCTGACACACCAGGAAGACCCTATACTCATTCGGCGTACACCGGTGTAACCGCCAGCACTGGCACCATGGCCTCCCTCATCCCAAGCATGGCCTCCAGTTCCACCCCACGGCCCTATCTTCACACGCTGAAGTGTCAAGACCATTAATACACCTATCACTGGTGGAGAAACCCTTTGTAGTCCCGGTTCGTAACCCCCCTTTAGTCCCGGTTTCCAAACCGGGAGTACCAATCCGGGACTAAAGATCGCTATCTTTAGTCCCGGGTGAAATAACCGGGAGTAAAGATAGAGCTGACCTTTTTTTTTTTGCATGCCCCTGTTGCTGCATGGTTTATATATATATATATATATATATATATATATATATAAACCATGCATATATATGTTTCAATACATATATATGCATACATATATATATATATGTATTTATACATATATATGTTATGCAAATGCATATGTATATAGATATATATATGAACAAAATATATTTACATTATAGAAAATGTGTACACATGCATATAGAAACATATGTAGTCATGTATTAATTACAATCCATTATATGTCCTAGCTAGCTACGATTTCGACGTAGTAGTACTCGCTGCTAGCTCAGAAGCTAAGGACCGGTGAATTGTGTTTCCGTCGTAGTAGAATTCACCCTTGGGATCAAGGATTTCTTCGTTGATGAATCCCATGAGTTGTTCTTGAACCGCCGCGATAAATTCCTTGTGTGTGGTCAGGTTATCCCTCATGCGAATAAACTATATGAATGTATGAAATTGATTAGTAATTAAACAAGAAATCGCTACGTAATGAAATTTTGAATTTATTTGTACGTACATCGAGCTCTCTTGTGGTGATGATTTGGTCTGCAAGGCAGTGGCAATACTCGCACACGTAATAGCCGCACAAGTTAGTTCCCTGCTTTTGCTTTGCGCACTACAAATAAATGACAAACAACGAGAGATCTAATTAATATACACTTGTATGTATTTGAATCGGAGAAATATAAATGTAGAGCATGTGTACTCACAGGAAATTTGAACTTCCGCCTAAGTCTTTCTCTCCATTTGCCGCGGACCAAATGACGGAACCGATACCAAGCCCTACATGGAGTTTAAAGCTATGATTCGTAGTAGCAATTAACATAACAAGATTTTCTTAATTAACAAAGGAACTTATGACGGTACCTGTCTATAAGTTCGAAAACCTTGTCAAACGTAGACTCTTTTTTATCCATTGAGTCATATACGTTGACGGTGCAGGCCTCCAGGTCGATGAGTAAAAGCACCCAGTGGAATCTGTAATGTGCGTGGGATGCATTACATATGAAACACTTAGCAAGTTCGTACGGGAATGAAATTTGGTATGTAGGAAGACAGTAAAATTAAACTAACTCTGTGTTGTATGGCAACAGTATGAACGTCTTGTAATGCTGCGCCTTCAGGAGATGGACGAGATTGTCCTCTGTTTCTTGTGGATATTGGTCGAGCATTGCGACGTTTACTTTCCGAGGGTCGATGAATCCAGTATCGAAAACCCTCCGCCGTCGGGCCCTTTGAATCTCCATTCTACAACGATAAAAGGGAGTATATTATTTTCTATGGTCTACTTATATACAAGGACCTAATTAATTAAAGGAGACGTATAGTAAGAAATCTAACTGAACGATATACTTACAAAATCCAGCAACTCATAATACAGACGTCGAGGGCGTCCAGCTGGTATAGTTCGTAGATTCCCCTGAAATTGATCCAGAGAATGTCATCTCCTTGCAAGAAGTCCGTGTCCCTGATCCTCGCTCCGATCATCTCTCTACCGGTGGCGCTCATCTCCATGTACAGCTGATGGAACTTGTACATTTGTGTGGGTAGGGACTGCAGCAGCTCAGGCTTGACAAGCGGTTTACCGAGTTCGTACATGTATTTCACTTCCGCCTTTTCGATTGGTGCGACTCCTAGCAATTGATCCGTAGTTAGACCGGTGTCAGTAATAAATTGTTCTATCGTCATTTCTTTACCGGTCACCAACGGCTCGATCTCCTGGTTTGGTTGCTCTCCAAGCTGAGGGACTGGTTTGGACTTTCCAGAAGATGCTTTCTTCAGCGTTCGCTCATAGTCCGATAGCTTGATGGCCTCCTTGACAGATGCAGACATACCCCTGAAGAAGTTCCTGACACTGGGGTCTATAGGAATCTTCTTTTCTGGACTTCGAGGCTTGAATTGTCTCTTGACTTCTGATGCAACGTAAGCGTCAAGCTCCTCTTGCGTGCAATCGTACCCCGGGTCCTTGTTCTTGGCGGCGTCAACTTTCGCCTTCTTTGTTGCCCTTGTGTGGGCAAGCGGTGGAGCTGGGGGGGCCCTTGACTTTGAAGGTGCCGGAAGAGGAGCTTGCGGGGGAGTAGGTGTAGGAGCACGAGGAGGAGTCGGTGCAGGATCCTGAGGAGTCGATGCTGGAGCCTGAGGTGGAGACGGTGCTGGCGGAGCACGAGGAGGAGACGGTGCAGGATCCTGAGGAGGAGATGGCGGAGCCGGAGGAGATGGTGCACGAGACGCCGCTTGTCGCCCAGGGAGGATGATGTACCGCCTGCGCCATAGAATAATGGCATGGCATGTGTCTCGTAGATGCGTCTCACTGTCTCCTCCAGGGTAATCCAGCTCGAGGTCCTCGTACGCGCCTTCGACCAACTCAACTTCGACCTTGGAGTATCCTGCTGGAATCGGCCTGCAGTGGTAAGTACCTGAAGGGTCCGTTGGGATGGCCATGCCCGACGCCACCTTCATGTTGTGAGAGATTATTTATTAGTAATCAACATATATAAGCAGCAACTAGCGGAATGGCTAAATCTTACCTTTATTGATAAGTTTTTGAAAGGAATATGCAGCTCACATGGTGTCCGCTGAGTGATGTCATCAACGGGACAGGTCGATTCGTCCTGTGTTTGCATGGCGTCCATGCTCTGTGATCCTACCTGCCCCGTTGAGGCGCAGCTGCTACGGTTTCCTGACGGGCTCACCATTGCAGGAGGAATGGTCGGCTGGGGATCATGGGACCGATGTGCGGCCATGCGTTCATCAACCTTCCTTGCAACCTCCTCTTGCATGTTGAGTTCGTAGCTCGATACCCGGAACTCTAGGTCTGCAATCTTCGCCTCGGTATCTCTCTTGCTCCTCATCCGACTCCTGTACGTGTGGATGTCCTCCTTGAAACCAATCTTCCAAGGAATCACCCCTTTCCCTCGAGTTCGTCCTGGATGCTCTGGAGTCTGCAGGGCGAGTGTCAGCTCGTCCCTATCTCTGTCTGGTCGGAACGTGCCCTGAGAGGAGGCCTCCACTGCATCTGTTAGTCGTCGCGCAGCCTCTTGTATCTGATAGCCGAAGACCAGTGAGCCATCAGCTGGGTTGAGCGTTCCACCGTGAGCATAGTACCAGAACTTCGATCGTTCCGGCCAATTGGCTGTTGCCGGTTCGATACCCCTCTCAATCAAGCTAGCCTCCATCTGCTCCCACTTCGGCATCGCGACGCTATAGCCTCCTGACCCCAAGTGGTGATGGTACTTCTTCTTGGCGGCATTTTCTTTGTTTCTTTCCATCATCGCCTTCCCTTGTTCACCTGTCTTATATGCAACGAACTCGTCCCAGTGATCCCTTAGCTTTGGGAATGTGTCGAAGTTCGGTGTCTGCCCCTTCAGTATATACTTCTGGTACAGATCTCCCTTGAAGCTCTGAAACTGTTCTGCCATTTTCTTCAGAGTCCACCTTTTCACTTTGTCCTCTGTACCCGCAGGAAGGGTGAATGTCTCGAGCATTGTGGTCCACAGCATCTCTTTCTCCGAATCTGGGACAAAGCTCTCATGATCTCCGCGTGCCCTTGTTCTTCGCCAGTACACCGTACTGACAGGCACGTTATCCCGCACAACCCAACCGCTGTGACGTACATAGTTCTTGGCGGCTTCGGCCGGGGCACTAGGACGTCCATCTTCTTCCACTTCCGTTATGATGTGCCGACCCTCAAGCTTCTTCGCTGCACCTCGTTGCCCGCGTGCCCTCTTCTGTCCAACGGAGGGTTGACTACCACTAGCCTCCTCCTCCTGGTTCCCCTCCACATCCCTTTCCACGTGCCCCTGCTGGTTCCCCTCCGCATCCCTCTCCACGTTCCCTTCCTCGTTCAAGTACTGGTTTGGATCCTCGTTCCCCTCTTCTTCATTCCAGTACTGGCTGCTTCCCTCCGCGATTGTATCGTACAATATCTGTTCCTCATCGCGGTCAGCCATCTGTTGATACAAGAAACATCTGCTAAGTCACGAGACATTTATGTTTTAACAATCTAATTCATGTATGCTAAGTGTAAATGTCGTACATTAGAACCCTACACAACCTTACGTGCTAAGTCTAATTACAAATCGTGATATAAGCTAAGTCTAGGTGACGTATATTATACAACCCTAGCTAGTAAATAATTATATACTAAGTCTAATTACAAATAAAATAATCTTATATTAAAACTCAAATAATATTACATGCTAATACTAAAATAGTCATGTATATGCTAAGTGTTTCGTGCGTATATGCTAAGTCTAATTAAGACTACAATAGTCAATTGCTACTTGTCACACCAATTCCGTAGTCAATAATTACATACCAAGTCTAATTACAAATAAAGTAATATTATATTAAAACTCAAATAATATTACATGCTAAGACTAAAATAGTAATGTATGCTAAGTGTTTCGTGCGTATATGCTAAGTCTAATTAAGACTACAATAGTCAATTCCTAGGAGTCGCACCAATTCCGTAGTCAATAATGTCATACTAAGTCTAATTTGCAATAAAATAATCTTATATTAAAACTCAAATAATATTAGAACACTACACAATCTTATATGATAAGTCTAATTACAGGTCTAATAATCTTAATTACATTGCATTACAAATATAACAATCATTTATATTAT